AAAACCTTGGGAGAAACCAGGCTCAGTCGGGGGGCCAGTTCTCCTCTGACCAGACGAATCCAGCAGTTCAATTCCAGGCTGCAGCAGAGTCTGATTGTGCAGACAATAGGGTCTAACATACATGTTGTTGGTTTAGATGATTTAACAAGTTTATACAATTCTTCTTTTCCTATAGTAGAGAATGAGTGGAATTGTTCCTCAGGGGATCTATAGCACACTATCTGATGCGTCACTGTAGCTGACGGCTGCATGGTTACAATTTTATCTCTAAAAGTATCGATCTTGGAAGTGAAGTAAAGTAGTACATAAAAGTAAAGTAAAGTAGTTCATAGAGTGTATTGTGTGATTTATAGTTAGAATACACCTCACTCTGAAGAACAAGAGGAGGGTGTTTGGCAGTACAATTCAGTGGAGTCCAGCATTACTTGAATACTATCAGGGAATGCTGCAAACTCTGTTGGTAGAGAGCTCTAACTTCTTGCTTTGGTATCCATTAGTGGATGGAGCCAAATAGATGGATGCTGCCTATCATAATCATTCCTCTTGTATCTAAATGCACACACGTTACGCTGGTGTGTGGTATGAGCAAAATTACACTACAGACACTACATATGGAACTTTATTTTCTTGTGTGAAAGATGTGTTTTTGCATTTGAATCCCCCTTCAGAAAAAATGGAAGGGTATTGTTTTGATGGCACACATAATATGTCTGGTCACCACGCTGAGGTGCAAGCTGTCACGGTTCACACACACGAGGAACACGGGAACTTGGGGATGTTTACAGCTTCCGAGGCCCTCCGTGGGCCATGACAGGGGACTGGAGCCCTCCCTGGGCTTACTTGTGGACCTGTAGCCCTCCCTGGGCTTAACTGGGGATCGGGAGCCCTGCCTGGGCGGAACTGGGGATCGGGAGCCCTTCCTAGGCTCGGCAGTCCGGTGGGCTTGCCATATGCGGGGCCGGCGAACTTGACTTGGCGCGGCTGGCAAGCTTAACATCTGGGCGGCCGGTAGGCTAGTCTTTGGCGCGGCCGGCAGCTGGAGAGAGCCACGGCCGGCTGCCTTGACTAAGGCGCGGCCGGCAAACTGGACTCAGGCAGGCGGACTTTGTCTTCGGCCCGGCCAGCGGGCTGGGGAATAGCCGCGGCTGACGGGCAGGACAACGGCGCGGCCCATGCGCTGGGTCTTCCGAGTGGTCGGCAGGCTTGTCTTCGGCGCGGCCAGCGGGCTGAGGTGAGCCGCAGCTGGCGGGCATGACAACAGTGCAGCAGGCACGCTTAACAGTTGGGTCTTCCATCCGCAGAGACAAACGGGGGAGAAAAAGGAAAACAAAAGACTGTTCAAAAACGAAAATAAAACACGGGTGAAGGAGCGCCGCTTATTACTGTTTTGGTCAGTCGTTCTGTCACGGTTCACACACACGAGGAACACGGGAACGAAGGAGCGAGGAGACACGGCGAAAATTAACTCAGAAGGGTTTATTAAACAAAGGCTGGGGATCACAGGACTCGACACATCAGGAGGACAGGATGACGTTTAACGACTGACCAAGGACAAGAACTAGAACACACTTTAAATACACAGGAACTGATGAGGGGAAGACAAGGGACACCTGGAACTAATGACAATTAACATTGGAAACACCTGGGAACAATGAACTCAAAACACGAGACAGAGAAACTAGATGACGGAGCACATAGGGAGCAAAGACACACACAAAACCTGGCCCAGAGTCTGACACAAGCACATCCTAAAACAATTGTCTT